AAAAAATAAAAATAGAACTAATGTAGATAAAATGAAACACAAATGTGCTGTCAAAGGACTGGAAATGTATAATGCAAATAAAGCAAGTACACAGTTCAAAGGCCATATAGATCTGTCAGTATTATGGATCAGATCACTCTAGCAATGCTTTAGTCTGATTTTTTTGCTGCCAGATTAAAAAAATACATAGCAAATCATTTTGGTAGTTTTAATTTATTAACCCTATTGGGGTCCTTCAGTACTATCGTTATATGAATACTTACTACTGCTAATGGTGGCTTATGCCCTTATTTTATGTAACAATATATACCTACAACTATGTCCTTTAGTTATTGACTTAGGAAAATCCACCAGTGAAGTAGAAAAGTGCTTATCCTGTTTTATTGTGTGATGAAGTAAGAATTTTGGTAATATTTTTATGATTGCTATTGCACTTTAGTTTCCCTCTGTGTTCTGCATGGCTATGCAGGGAGTGTAAAGGGTTAAAAAGCTGCTCTTGGGGCAGAGCAGGGGACATGGGAACATCAGAATGGCCATACTGAGTCAGATCAATGGTCTATCTAGCTCAGTATCCTGTGTCCCCACAGGGGCAGGTGCCAGATGCTTCAGAGGGAATGAACTGAACAGGGTAATTATCGAGTGATCCATCCCGTCATCCAATCCCAGTCTCTGGCAGTCAGAGGTTTAGGGACACCTAAAACATGGAATTGTCTCTCTGACCATCTTGCTTAATAGCCACTGATGGACCTATCCTCCAGGGAGGTCCCGGGCCTGCCCTTGTGGAACTTTGCAATTTCTTGGGGCCCAGCACACAAAAAGGATCACTCCCCAGGAACAGGTCGCAAGCTGGGGCATAGACCAGACCCTGTGAATCCATGACGATGGTACTCTTTAGAACTTTACTCCTCTAAACCACCTTTGCAGACCAGTAGATCCATTCAAAATTGCCAGCTTCAAGCTTTAATAGAGCAAACAATGAAATGCTTCTAAGCTTAATTTTATATAATAATTAGTTCCATCCTAAATACATTGATAATTATCTTTCCTGTTTAAATGACTATAGCAAAGTAGCTAATTATTACTCACTGTTGAACTTCCATCATGCCAACCGACCAACCCTCCAATTGTTTCTAAAAAGCTATTCCTTCTTACATATTATAACAATTTAGTCTGCAAGTACAGTATTGTGACATTTCTAAGCCACTGACCACAGGAACTGCAATGGTGGGCAACCTGCAGCCCAACAGGGTAATCCACTGGCGGGCCACGAGATAGTTTGTTTACATTTGCACAACCACCCGCAGCTCCCAGTGGCCAGGAATGGCAAACCACAGCCACTGGGAGCTGCGGGCAGCCGTGCAAATGTAAAACTATCTGGCAGCCCGCCAGCAGATTACCCTGATGGGCTGCGTGCGGCCCGTGGGCTGCAGGTTGCCCACCACTGAGCTATATTATGTAGCTATCACCACACATTTTACTTTGTGGGCCTTAATTGTGTGCAGTTTATATCTTTCACCATGATTTGTGCTCACTAACACAACCTTTGGGGCCTCTCCTTCCAACACTCCTGCATGACCCTAACAAAAGGTTTGCCATTAAACCACTTAAGCTAACATTTACAGAAAGCCCCGATGAGCCAGCTGAACAAGACAGCCTATGGTGCCACTTGTGATCAAACTGGCCTCAGATATTCTGCAGATAACAGAAGGAATCCCTAGTTGTACCCCTAGTGTGGGTTTTCGCAGGGATGCGCTAAACTAGAGAGCTGAGCTGTTTCCATGGGTAAGCTCCTTGCTCTGAAAGTTAACTGTAGCCAAGAAAGGCTGAGTTTTACCTCCAGGGCAGACAAGGAGCGCTAACGAGAGTAAGCTGTGAACTATATAGGCTGGGGCTCCCAGAAAGACCCAGTGAAGTGAAATCACTGTACATAATCCCAACTATACATATAAAATGATGAGGTCTAATTTAGCTGTTACCACTCAAGAAAAAGATCTTGGAGTCATTGTGGAGGATAGTTCTCTGAAAACATCCACTCAACGTGCAACGGCAGTCAAAAAAAGCTAACAGAACACTGGGAATCATTAACAAAGAGATATACAAGATGACAAAAATATCATATTGCCTCTATATAAATCTATGGTCACCCCATCTCAAAATAGATATATTGGAATTAGAAAAGGTTCAGAAACGGGCAACAAAAATTATTAGGGTTATGGAACAGCTTCCATATCAGGAGAGATTAATAAGATTGGGACTTTTCAATTTGGAAAAAAGATGACTAAGGGGGGACATGATAGAGGTCTATAAAATCATGACTAGTGTGGAGAAAGTAAATGAGGAAGTGTTATTTACT